GCTGTCTTTGAGTGGAACATAAGCATTGAAATTGGGAAACATGAAAAGCCTGGCTAGCTCCCTTTGTTCATAGATGTATGTGGCCTATCTTCATCCCTTGTTAAGTGGTATATTGAGGTGATATTGAGGTGAGACGTCGATCGAGTGCTACTGAATAAGGAGGGGAAATCAATCGATTAGATCGTAAAGTTACACCGATTAAGAGAGATAGTGAGGAAATGTGTTACGCATGCATGACTAACCATCATCCATCACCTTCTTCGATAACCAGCGATGTTAGATGACGTAGGATCAAGTTGTTAGAAAAAAGCTAGTGATGGTCAAAGCAAAGCATAGAGACAACAGTCAATGAAATCCATAACAGTTAGTTTAAGCCAGCCAGCCACGGAGGGAGGCAGTCGGGCCTTTCCTATTTATTTTATATATCGATGAGTAATCTCTGCTCACCGACTCCCCTGTGGTCCTATATGCAGATGATTTCAAAATCTGGAGAGAGCTGAAGGGCGACAGTGATACTCTCACGTTACAAGATCTCAACAAATTGTCAGAGTGGTACAGAGAATGGATGCTTCCGATCAATGTAGCAAAATGTGCAACAATGCGCATAGGATACGCAAGCATCAGCCCCTACGAACTAGAGGGAATAACACTCCCATCCAGTCCAGACTCATTCGGATTTAGATTTCATAGTAAGTCACGACTTAAGAACTAAAGCACACTGTCGCGTGGTGGCTGCACATAGTTTCAGATCATTATGGACCATTAGCAGAGCTTTTTTCTAGAATCATAGGAGATATGTTAACCTCCTTATATACATCTCAGGTGAGGTCAAGACTGGAAAACTGTATCCACGCAGTCAGCCAATCCTTGTCTCAAAGGGGATTCATGTATTCTAGAAAGGGTTCAAAGGAAGACAACACGTATGATTCTCAGCATGATTCACTTATCATACGAGGAAAGACTAGACAGTTTAAATCTCTTCTCCCGGTCATACCTTAGTCCAAGAGGATATTTAATTACAATGTTTAAAATTTAAAATAATAACTACGGACCTGATATATCCTTTATTTTCCTTCCTGTAAGGTGGTCGCCAGATACTAGCTTGCTAGGCTACTAGCTTACTAGTTTTCTCGCCGGTCCCAAGCCCGGGTAAAGAAGGAGGGTTGGGGCGTGGTGCTAGCAACTCCACCCCTGTAAAACAACCAAATCGCTACAGAAACTTCAACGAATAAATATATTAAAAATTCTAAAAACATAAGCAATAGCCTTACTTTTCGCTGGAATCGGGGAAGTGAAATGACGCAGGCTGGTGAAAGCCTTCGGGAAGCCAGTCAGCCGATGTGCCTTCTTTCGATGAAAGCAAAAGTAAGGATGGGTACCTGGAATGTTCGCACAATGTACGAAACTGGAAAGGCTGCCCAGATAGCCGCTGAAATGAGAAGGTACAGAATAGAAGTGTTGGGAATCTGCGAAAGCAGATGGAACGGAACTGGAAGGTGCCAACTACCTACTGGAGAGACAGTAATCTTTCCGGCCACCTAGAGGACAACCATGAGCACACCGAGGGAGTGGCCATCATGATGTCACCAACAGCAACCAAAGCTCTCATGCAGTGGGAACCAATCTCCTCCAGGATAATGACAGCCAGGTTCAACTCAAAAGGAAGGAAAGTTACAGTCATTCAATGCTATGCGCCTACAAACGTCTCAGAACAAGAGAAGAAGGAGGCGTTCTACAGACAACTACAAGCAATAATGGACAACGTCCCAAATGGCGATATCAAAATCCTGATGGGCGACATGAATGCGAAGCTGGGAGGAGACAACACAGGAAGAGAACTCACCATGGGTCGTGAGGCCCTCGGCGAAATGAACGACAATGGTGAACTCTTCTCAGACTTCTGCGCCTTCAATGATTTGGTGATTGGCGGTAGTGTGTTCAAACACAAGGATATACACAAGACGACATGGATTTCACCAGATGGAAACACCAAGAACCAAATAGACTTCATCTCAATTTCAAGAAAGTGGAGACGGAGCCTACTGGACACAAGGTCAAGGAGAGGAGCAGATGTGGGTTCAGACCACTATCTAGTACAAGGGACTTTCAAGGTGAAACTAAAAGCCTCGAGGATAGCTGGGGATAGGCCACAATGCAAGTTCAACACTCAATTACTGAAGGACACAACCACAAAAGACACTTTCACTGCAACTGTCAGAGCAAAGCAGGAAACACTACGCGACATCACTGAAGAATCATGCGTGGAAGAACATTGGAAGTCTCTGAAGGCGATTCTCAACGAAACGTGTTCAACGGTTCTAGGAAGAAAGAAGAGACAAGACAAGGAATGGCTCTCAACGGACACTTGGAAATTAATAGAAGAGAGGAGAATGGTGAAAGAGAAAATGATTCAATGCAAGGACGGACAGGAGAAGGAGACGATGAGCTCAACTTACAAAGCACACTGGACAAAGAAGTGAAGAAGAGTGCTAGGAAGGACAAAAGACGATTCTACGACAACCTCGCCACTGAAGCTGAGAAGGCAGCAGGCAAAAGGGACCTGAGGACACTATATCAGATAACCAAATCTCTATCCGGGAAGAGACCAACACAAGCGAAACCTATAAAAGACAGCCAAGGGAACCCAATTACCAAGGAAGAAAAACAGATTAAACAATGGGCGGATCACTTCAAAGGACTCTTGAACCGACCATCACCTGCAACCCGTCCAGAAATACCAACAACAGCGCACACAACTGCAAGTTGACACCAATCCTCCAACGAGAGCTGAAGTCTTGAACGCAATCAAACTTCTGAAAGCTGGAAAATCAGCCGGACCAGATGGAATACCCCCTGAAGCACTGAAAGCGGACCCAGAGACAACAGCAGACATGCTGACTCCATTATTGCAAAAGGTCTGGAAGGAGGGAAAGGTGCCTACTGACTGGAGGAAAGGTTACCTCGTGAAACTACCAAAGAAGGGCGACTTACGCCTCTCTGCAAGAACTGGCGAGGAATCATGCTCCTGTCGACGCCAAGTAAAATCCTGAGTCGCATCATCCTGGAGAGATTAAAGGACGCACTGGAGACAGAACTCCGACCAGAACAAGCTGGATTCAGGAAAGGCAAATCATGTACTGACCAAATTGCAACTCTACGCATCATCATCGAACAAAGCATGGAATGGCAATCAAACCTCTACCTCAACTTTATAGACTTTGAGAAGGCCTTCGACAGCGTTGATCGTGAAGTAATTTGGAAATTACTCGAGTACTATGGCGTACCCCAAATATTCATCAACCTTATTCAACAGCTGTACGACAACGGCACATGTCAAGTGATCCACAACGGAAAACTCAGCGAGGCGTTTGGAGTAAACACAGGAGTCAGACAAGGGTGGCTTATTATCACCAATGATATTCCTAATTGTGGTGGACTGACTGGATTATGCGTCAGACAGAGTGGGAAACGAGAAGACAGGAATATCCTGGACCGACGTGAAGAACCTAGAAGACCTGGATTTCGCGCGTGGATGATTTATGTTTGATGTCACACAAAATCGAAGACTTACAAGCGAAAACCGACAAACTGGTCGAAGAAGCAGCCGGTGAAGACAGGACTCCAGGTGAACATAGACAAGACGGAGGTTATGAAAATAACCAACCAACAACAACAACAACAGCAAGAACATCCAGTGCCAATCACCATCAACGAGAGGGATTTGAAAGAGGTTACTTCATTCACTCACTTATCTAGGGAGCATTGTCTCAACTACAGGAAGTCGGAATGGACGAGGATGTCAAATCGAGCGAGAATCTGGAAGGCGAGAAACATTCGTCAGCCAACTGAAACTAATCTGGAAATCTTTGTCACTCACCATCAACAGCAAAATTCGGTCGGATCTTCAATGCAAACAACGTCAGTCAGTTCTTCTATACGGATCGGATCAGATACTTGGCGGGTCACAAAGTATATTTCCAAAAGGCTGCAGACCTTTATTAACAACTGTCTTCGCTCAATACTGAAGATCAGATGGTTGGCCGGAAAGAATCACCAACAAGGAATTATGGGAACAAACGATGCAAGAACTAATCGCCCAGCAAATATGCAGGAGAAAGTGGAAATGGATCGGACACTCGCTGAGGATACCGCTGGGTGACATCGCGCGTCAAGCCCTCAAGTGGAACCCGAAAGGGAAGCGGTGTGTGGGACGTCCAAGGGTGACATGGAGGAGATCGTGTGAAGAGGAGTTGAAAGAGTATGGACTAACATGGATTCAGGTGAAAAGTACAGCAGAAGACAGAAGTGGCAAGTGGAGACGTACAGTTGAAGCCCTATGTTCCACTAGGAACCCAAGGGAGCAATAATAATAATAATAATAAGGTGGTCGGAACACCTAAAAAGACATATCAGGAGAGTTCGAAAGCCAAAAAGAAGTCATATCGCTGTTGAGTACTGGTTCTCACACCCAGTAGTCATAATCTCTTGGAACCGATTCCCAGAAGAAATGGTGTATCTGCAACCTCAACTGATTCATTCAAAAAGGGTTTAGAGAAGCACAGAAATTTAAGTATTGATTTATAGGGATTCGAATGATTGGTTACAGGATTTTATCATGAGCTGACATTGGTTAGAGAGCCATTGGAAAACCAGACAGAAGTACTGGACAGTCAGCTGTTTCGTCAGTCTAGTTTGGGACTCTTCAGCAGTACGCACCTGCCACCAACAGGGTTCGAACCCAAGACCTTCTGGTTACAAGGCTAGCGAGTTCGTAGACCATTCATCAGCCAGTGGTACCCAATCTGATGGTCAGTCCGTGAATTCTAACTTCTGATAACCAATGTTTTCGTCGAGTATTTGTCTTTATACCCGACCTGCTGCACCCCACAGGTCACGAAAAGGATTAACACAGACACCGCACCCTCTATCCTCAACCAAATAAATCTGAAATCTGAAAACATTTTTAATTTCGCAATTATAAATATCAACAATAAACATACCTTTAATTTTCTTTTTCAAATTTACTCGTCTTTCACAAAATGTGTAGTGTTTCTTTGACGGACTTACAGAGACTCCAAAATCATCACTAGTATTATTATTATTTATGTTTTCAATATCAATAAAATTATTATTATTATTACCATATTGTTCTAGATTAATCGGACTATTAACTTTCTGTTGTTCATCTAATTTATCATAACAATAATATTGATTTGGGAGAGGAGGACGAGGAAGAGGTGCAGGAGGATGACAATGAGGATGAGGATAATTATTATCGTCTAAATTTAAAGAAATAGGAACATTTGCCTGACCATCAATAATATCTGGTATTAATAATAAATTTGATGATTGTTGTTGTTGTTGTTTAAATTCACTTAAATCTGGATATTGAACACTTGGACATGTAGGCGGGAAATTCAAATTATTCTGATTTTCATTGGTTACCAATGGTGATGATATTGCTATTGCTGCTGCTGGTAGTGGTGGTGGTGATTGTATGTATGTATTGTGATCGTGGTGATCAGTATTAGTGTTGTTGTTGGTGTTGGTGTTATTATTATTATTATTGTAAATATTATGATTATTACACTGAGCTATAGATGGACATGTCTATAAGAGTAAACAAAAACAAAATCAGAACAACGTTAAATAAACTAACCAAAATCAGGATAAATTACAGAACAAGATCAATGGCGAATGAAATCTAACGGACTCTATTTTAACTCGATTCTATGGTAGACCAAAACTACAAAAACAAAACATTCCCTTACGACCAATCGTTTCGCTTCCAGGAACACCAACATATAATATGTCTAAAGAACTTTTTCGGGAAAATAAATTACCTAACAGAATCATGCGACCATTCTGTCAATTCGTCAATCTATCCAATTTTTAGAGAAAATCAAAAAAATCATTCAGGTAGAAGACAATGAAATAATGGTGTCCTTTGATGGTGTCACAGCATTATATACTTCAATTAGGCCAAAAATAGCAACAGCAACTATGTATCAATTACTCTATAGTAATGAAAACATAAAAAAAGGCTGTGATGTTCAACTTGGATAGAAGTCATTGAATTATGCCTTACAACAACATACTTCCAATTCAATACTCAAATATATGAAGAGATAAGAGGAACACACCAATGGGATCATCGCCCATATCAGGATTATTAGCTGAAGCCGTCATGTAAAGATTAGAATTAATAGCTCTACCAACTATAATTAAACCGAAAATCTGGACAGGTACGTTACGTTGATGATACATTTGTAATAATTAAGAGAAATGTGATTTGGAATATATCCATAAATCAATAAACAAGGCGTGTGAAGACATCAGAATTCACAAGAGAAGAAGAATTAGATAGCAAAATCACATTTTAGATGTCTTAATCAGGAGGACCAACACAGGAAATTTAGAAACACAAGTATATAGAAAATCAACTCACACACACACAGATCAAATACTCAACTATACTAGCAATAATCCCATTACTCACTCACGAAAGAAACTGTGTGCAGACATTGTTTAAAAGAATTCCAGAGTTGAAAAGAATGGAAGAAAAATACCCACAAAAGGTCTTCAAGAAGAGTGGTCATCCACAAAATTTCATCAAAAAGTGTTTAAAGGTGAATCAAAACACCAACAGAGAACCATCATCAAAGACCACAAGAAAATTCATCCTACTATACGTGAAAAATATCTCTGAAATAACAGCTAGAATACTGAAACCGTTTGATATAGATGTAGCACACAAACCAGCTGAATCGCTTAATTCGATATTATGCAAACCGAAAGACCAATCCAACAGCAAAAGGAGATGAAATTAATATCATTTACAAAATAAATTGCATGTATGAACTGTAACAGGCATTACATCGGCCAACAAAGTGGGCGTCCCCAGGGTATCGAATCAGAATCCAGGAACACAAATCAGCCGTGAAAAGACACGATATATAATCCTGTTTCATGTCAATGCATATGGATAATTATGGACATCAATTTGATGATTGGGATAATGTCAAAATCTTAGACGAAGGAAACACCACCAGAAGTGCAGTCAGGGAATTCTTATAAGCCTGGCACTCAAACTAATATGTAATTAACAAACATGTTAATATAGACCAAATCTACCAACTAATAAAGAGTACATCATGTTATCGGAAAGTTTAAAATCCAAGTTAAGAGAAAATGGTAAATACATAAGTAAACATGGTTACCGGGAAACGCAATCATATCACTCATGAAGAAATTTAAATCATTTCACTTTATGCTAAATATTGCGCTGAAGGGGAATGTTGTCCAGTAGGGGGACGACGAAAGCTCCGCAACTAAACTAACCAGCTCAGAGAACACTATTAATTGGAAACAAAAACAGTTCACATTATTTCTATAGAAGACGTCATAAGAAGTTTTTTCTTATAAGTAGTATATTTGTGAAGAACACAAAAAAACATGTTTAGAACATTATTATTATTATTATTATTATTATTATTATTATTATTATTATTATTAGGTAACTAAACTATTGGTTGGACACTAGTCAGTGACTAGTAAAGTGTGTCTAGTCCTTTGTTTGGCTGGTGCGGACTGAATTCTATCAGTCAGTCAGGTTTGCGTTGTGGCCACCATGCCACTTGGTGGCTTGCCATCACGGCACACTCTTCATAAACACTTGCATCCTACCTATTCTTCTTTATCGTTCACCCTTATTCTTTCCTGGTTCGCTGCTTAAAAAGGACTATGTCTTAATTCGTAGAATGCTGAAGACTGTCAGTCATTAGGGTGAGTGGTGGTGTCCCAGTGGACCACTTAGTTAACGTCATTATCGGTAGGCATTTGACTTCGTGCAATAAATTTGCTAAAGGGATTTTGTCTGACTTGGAGCATCCACTTTACCCTCAGCTCTCACCTTGCATCTCCTCAGGTAGAACAAGATGTAGCTTCAGAAAACTGTATGCTCCCTTGTCCAAGTATAAAAATTCTATGATACCATACTTGGTACTTATTTTATGTGATAGTGAAAATAGCGTCAGGCAAGAATTAACTAACTAACCTTTTTTCATCTAGTAAATAAACAATTTCCTCCATCCATCCTTATATACCTTCAAGTTTTACTTTCATAGTTGCAAACACCAACTTATCTCTATGACTGTTGTAATCTTTGTTTTTTCCCCTCACCATATCATGCACAGAGAACATTATATTCAATATTTTTAAACATGCTAGGATTTCTATACCGCATTGACAATACTGTGTGAAACAAGCCTACGGCAATTTTCATTTGTATTATCATCATTATTACTTTAGCTGCTATCATTATTATTATTTCCATTTTATGTGCTGCATGTTTTTGACATTACCCCTATCGTAAATGTGGAAGATTAACTGTGTGATTAATTTTATTTATAATTTGAGGAAATCAGATGCAATATTGTGATGAATGCTGAAAATTCCATTGTGTCATAAGTACTGTTTTTGAAATAAAGTAAATTATTATTATTGCTGTGAATTGCTGGTATTAGATGGTTGGAGGCAATCGTCCACAGGAGGCCTTGCATGACCTACCTAGGTTTCGTGCTAGTTGGCACTCGTGTCAGCAAGGCGTATCAAAGTGCACCGTGATGGCGAGCCAACTAGTGGGATAGTGGCCACATTGCACACCTGACTGATTGGATTTAGTCTGCACCAAAAAGATAGGACTAGACACACTACACTAGTCACTGATAAAGGTTGAATCAGAATGTATCACACAGTCCTACAAGAGGTGAATCATGAGTCCGAATATCTCAGTGGTAAAGTCGTCTCCGACTGCAGCAGTGGATGACGCGGGTTCAAGTCTCACAAGGGACATGAGTTGTTCCTTCAAGGTTTCAGATACGCCAGGTAGCACAAAACCTAGGTCCGGCAGGGTTTCCCGCCTTGGTCAACTTAATCAGATGAGTTCGTAGTAAGTAGACGGGAACACAAATGGAATACACGAATTACGCTGCAAACTCCATCAAGAGGTAGTATTTGAGTACTGTCAGAATAATAGGCTTATAGAAGGAAGAAGCTTATAGATGTGAAGTAATGTGTTTTGCGGACGGTGTGCAGCCGCTACCAATGGATGCGCGTCAGTGGCACAGTGGTTAGGATTCTCACCGACCATGCATATGGTCCGGGGTTCGAGCCCACGCCGACGCACACCCGATAGCTATGGTCGGCCCGCGAAATTTGGGCTACCGATATCCACGCTGAAAATTCCATACTTGTACCAAAAATACGGCATGGAATCAAGCTGTAAATAAAAAATAAAAATAAATAAATGGATATGTGTACAGATGTCCAGACTGCCGTTACAGAAAAATTGTCCGAAAAAATACGTTGTTCCTTTTCTGGGTTCATGGGTGTTGTAGAGCAGCGAATGGGTCATGAAACAGCATCATTCACAGTTATCTAGATGAATTTATGTACGGAAATATGCACTTGAACTATCACAGGAGACTCCAATAAGGAATTAAGAGGTTTTCTTCGGGGGGGGGGGACGGAAACGTTATATGGACGTTATCGTCTGAAGAGTCCTAAATTAGGAGGAAATAGTTTTCTACTGGTTTTCAATGATTTTCTAACTTGGGTCAATCTGTGGTGAAACTTGAAACAAATATGATGCCTTTTTAGTTCTGAAGCTATGATGTCTGGGAGATGGTTACTGCAGGGATGAAATCATGAAAAATTAATGGATACTTCAAAATTATTATTATTATTATTCATTTGGGTTCCGGGTAGAACATGGGCGTTCAGAAGCACATCACGACTTCACTCGACGGGCAATGCTAGCTGATATAGGGTCAGGAGGCTGGAAAAGAGCTAGCGGCGGTCAAACAAAAACATGGCCTCATCAGTCAGTGAAATCCACAACAGCTAAAGTCACGTAGGAAGGTGTAGACTTCCTAAATGGGGTCTTTGGGATGGTAAAAACCAATGGGTGGAGACACTTATCGGTATTATGGCTCAAAATTGTTCTCAATGGCTGGCGTATATGCATTCACTCCTTGTGACTTATGATTTTCAATGAAACTATATTGTTCTTCGTTATTACTATTCCTTTGTCTCACACCTCTGTTTACTGTCTCTATTATGCATTTCTTGTACTTTCTTCTCTTTCTTTGTGTATTACAAGGAGGGGGTGTGGAGACTTGAACAGGTGCACATATGTGCAAAGTTCTTTGTCGAAAACAGAAAGACAGTTTGTTTCTTAAACATAGATTAATCCTCAAGTATTGGGATTTTGTTTGATTGCATGGAGGATTTAATCATGAGCTGACATCAGTTAGAGAACCACTGGAAAACCTGGGGGTACTGGACAGCTGTTTAGTCCTAGTTTGGGACTCTTCAGAAGTACGCACCCACCGAGATTCGAATCCAGGACCTTCTGGTTACAAGGCGAGCTCGTAGACCATTGAGCCACTGGGACCCGATCCAATGGTCCTTAGATTATTATTATTAGATCCCTTATATTTTCCTACATCTCTTTCAAATGTGCACCTGTAGTTTGAAAGCCAAGTGAGAATGTTGAATGAGCACATTTTACGACTCAAGAACACCACTGAATACTGAAGATAATGAGAATTAGAGAAAATATGGTGCGTTGCGCTAGATAGCCCGCCCAGTGATTCAAGTTGGAGGCCGCCAAATCAAGGGAAATGAGATTAATGCATCTGTCATCGCTTATCTCAAAGAGTGCTATCTATTAAGGTATAATCAAGTATTTCGAGTATCGATGGTTCTTCAGCGGTAGGATGCTCGGCAACCACGCCTTACGTGGTCCGGGGTTCGGTCCCCCAGCTGACGCACTCCTAATCCTTCCTAAGCCTGTAAAGAAGGAAGGTTGGGCCTGGTGAGGCTAGCAAACCCAGCCGGCAAAAGGTAACTCCACTGCTACTGGAACTTCAAAGCTCTAGATTGAAGCCGTATGTTCCCCTGGGAACGAAAGGATTATAATAATACAAGCATTTAGAAAGCAAGGTTGAATAAAGCAAAGGCCCAAATCATCCCGTAAAGTAGCTGACTTTCAGAATAAGACATAGAAGAAGAAAGTGCAGACCATCTAACTAGCGATCTGTTTCACACTAATGTTTCAATAATCCTGATCGATAACTGTTATCTTCAACGTACTGATCAAACTTTTGTATCGTAATACTAACTGGAGCGAATATTCCTGCAGATAGTACTGTGCCAAAACCACCAATGACTAACCATTCGATTAAAAGCAGTTACAGGATTCCATTATGAGCTGACATTAGTTAGAGAACCACTGGAAAATCTTGGAGAACTGGTCAGCTGTTTCGTCCTAGTTCGGGACTCTTCATCAGTAGGCACTAATGTCAGCTCATGACGAAATCCTGTAACCTATCAAATCCCTACAAACCAACATTTGAATATCAATGAGACGCTCACAAGCGACTTGCCCTATTCAGGTAGGTAGTTACGTGGGGTTCTAGTGAGAAGTCGTGACCAGTAAGGTGCAGCAGGTCGGGTATGAGGACAAATACTCGCCGAAGACATTGGCTAAGGGTCGCGCTATGTCGTGAATTGGCAGAAGATAAAATTCATTTGCTGGCCATTGGATCGGGTCTCAGTGGCTGATGAATGGTCTACGAGTTCACTCGCCTTGTAACCAGAACGTCCTGGGTTCTAACCCCACAGTGTGGGTGCGTACTGATGAAGAGTCCCAAACTAGGATGAAACAGTTGTCCAGTACTTTCAGGTTTTCCAACCGATGTCAGCTCATGATGAAATCCTGTAACCATTCAAATCCTTACAAACCAACATTTAAAAGCAGTTAGTTGCTTTATACTATGCCAGAGATCTAGGGATTCAAAGTCTTACTGTTTTAGGATAGGAACTGGACAGCAGTCTTACAGAGGTCCACGGTCGACAGTTAAGTCTTAGTACGGGCAACTAGAACTAAACTGGACCCAAGCAACTGTTCCCTGGGATATGCGGTCTCACACCCCTAACGCTTTCTCTTTCTTAGAGATACTTCAAGAAAGATTTAAATTTCCACTGAGTGAGTACAACCGCTAGGCGGCAACCGACTACACACACACCTCCATTAGCACTCAAAAAAATCAACCCATATAATAAACATACCTCATCAACACTATTCACCTTATCCATTTGTGTAGTTGATATCTTCTTCTGCATTGGTAATCGTTTTGGAAAACAGATTACAGGTAGAGCAACAATAAAAGTTAGAGCAGCACAAACAAGCATACCAAGCCACCATGCACCAAGCCATAATGGACTATTACGATCTACACCATTCTGTGGGAGCATAAATGGTGAATCAATGTATATACTCAGGAAACCAGCACCGGCGAGAAATCCACACGCAGGTCCTAATCCACCAGCACTGTAGAATAAAGCTGAAATGCAAAGGCAAGAAAAAAACAATAGGAGAAAGGATGATAATAATAATAATGAAAAATGTCAAAAATAATAATCTCATATTGTTATGCATCTCAATATTGTAAACATATCTGATGCTCAATAGTGGCTCACTGACTGATTAGTAGCAATTCGTGACCAATGAGTTCCACTGCGTCAGGTGGGAGGATATATACTCCCCGATGATATTGGCTGCTGGTGGTTTTGGTGGTGGTGTTAGGAATCGCCAATCAACGGAAATTAGAATTGATGAACCATTAGATTCCACGGTAGTGGCTAAACGGTGAATGAGTCAGCCCTGTAACCTCTGTCTGTCTGTCTGTTTTCGAAATAGAACTTTGCACATATGTGCACCTGTTCAAGTCTCCACACTCCCTCCGTGTAGCACACAAAGAAAAAGAAAGTAGAAGAAATGCATAATAGAGACAGTAAACAGAGGTATGAGACAAAGGAATAGTAATAAAGAAGAACACTATAGTTTCATTGAATATTATAAGTCACTAGGAGTGGATGCATCTGCGCCAGCTAGTCATTGAGAACCATTTTGAGCCATATCATCACCCATTGTTTTCAGCCCTCATTGGCTTTTACCTTCCCTAGGACTCCAAACAGTCAGGAAGTCTCTACACCTTTCTTACGTGACCGGCTTAAAATAACTGTTGTGGATTGAATTGACTAATGTCAAGTTTTTGTTTGACCGCCGCTAGCTCTTTTCCAGCCTGACCCTATATCAGCTAAAATTGCCTGTCGTCGAGGAAGGCGATGACTAGACAAACATGCGTAACACATGTCCTAACCATCTCAGTCGATTTATCTTCACAGCCTCGTCGATTGATTTTCCCTCTTTACTTAGCACTCGACGCCTCACCTCAATATTGCTCACCTTATTATACCACTTCACACGGGAGATAGAAAGCAGGCACCTTTTCATGTCTTTCACTCTCAATGGCCAGGTCTCACAAGCCATAAAGCAGGACGGAGAGGACTGATGAGCAGTACACACGCCCTTTGGTCGATAGCCAGCTGGATATCACGTCTACGCCAGAGACGGCGTAAACTGACATATGCGAATCTAGCCCTCTGTATCCGTACTGAGATTTCGTCAGAGATCAACCCGTTGGCTTTGGCTGATGGTACTTCCAAAATAAGTGAGTGAAGTGGTCAACACGCTCCACGAACCACTTCACCCCCTATTACTAAACTAGGAGTCAGTGTAGCCCAGTCCTGTAACATCTTACATTTGGCGGGAGCGAATCGCATACCCAGTAACCTGGGTCCGATGAGATCACAGGTGCATGCTGATAACAAGTTCCAAACAGGAGTGAAACAACCGGCTGTCCAATACTCCCTGTGACTGGTTTTGAATGGTTGTCTAACTGATGTCATCAATCCTTGGTCGAATTTCAAAATAATCATATCCCGACATAGTAACATTCTATGAAGATGAAGGTCATTGACTAAACAGTCAACCTTTATCCAGTGAATTTCAGGTTCCAACCTCACTCCAACTACTTCAACCTGGGAATGTTAATGGTACCATCAGCTTTTAAACAATGATTGTATATCTCATCGTGTGGTACTGTGTAACTCAGTTCTACGTAATTGATCAACATATAAATGTCTACGTTCCATAAGGAATGTCAAGAATCTTTGCGTCGGTGGCACAGTGATTACGACTCTTGCCGACCATGCACATAGTCCGAGGTTTGATCCGCTACCAACGCACACCTGATATCTATGGTCGGCCTGGAAATTTTGGGCTACCGATATCACATGCTGAAAATTCCATACTAGTACCAAAAATACAGTGTGGAATCAAGCTGTAATAAATAAAAAAAAAGTTGATCAACACCCTCAAAAGATTCCTGATAGGACCCAGCATAAAGCAGTATATCATCCTTTCTCACGCATATTGTGATTAAGTGTATGATCAATTCATCATCTTGATCTTTGTCGGATCACCAACCAATCAGAATAGACATTTCTAGCCAATAAGAATAATCCATTTCCCCACGGTTGTGAAACAACTGTATTGTGATAAATTAAGTATATAAGTATGACGTTTTGTTGCCTAATATATATATAAATATATATAATACAGTATCTTACAGACACAGATCAGTGTTTGTCTTTTGATATTTGCGTGGCTCAGTGACGTATTGGTGTACCAGTTGAGTTCATTACCGTTATAGTAATTAACAGGCGTAAACATAACAAAGTAGCGACGGGATTTATTCACTTCAATTTGGTTATAAGAATTCCAGATAGCTCAGACGATTACTGTGTGTAAATGTCAGATTAAACTAAGAAGACAACACCAAAGACATATGTCTTTCTAAAAAAAAGAGTGGTTTGATACCCAAAGTCATGGAATATGTACATATAAGTTATAAGCAGCTAACTCTTTAATTAAATATCCTATCTCATTAAGGCTTTGCAATAATTTTTTTATTTATTACTAATATTATGCCCTCGAGTTTCGATGGTGGAACATAAGGCTTCACAACAGCACATCTCCACTTCGTCCTCTTCAGATGGCTGGCTTCATGATTTATCCATAGACTGCGTCGGTGGCACAGTGGTTAGGACTCTCGCCGACCATGCACATGGTCCGGGGTTCGAGCCCACGCCGGCGCACACCTGATATCTATGGTCGACCTGCGAAATTTGGGCCACCGATATCCATGCTGAAAATTCCATACTTGTACCAAAAATACAGTGTGGAATCAAGCTGTAAATCTAAAAAAAAATCATGCCCACCTCATCATTTCTCATTCGGGTTCCACTGGAGTGATGGATGACCTGTCAAGCGATGTCACCCATTGATCTGCTCAGCGTCTATTCAATCCATCTCCATATTCTTCAGAATATCTGTTGAGCACTAGGTTTTTGATTGATTCGTCCCCAGCCAGAGTTTCTTGTCTTCACTTCTTTCCGATCAGGCAAATCATCTTTATTATGGAGCCAGAGCAAAGATGGCCCCCCCGGCCACCGACGCACTCCTTTACCTCGCTAAACCAGAAATAAGACTTGTAATGAGGGAAGGTTGGGCCTCCAAAGCCTCAGGATGGTCGGGGGTGGGTGCCTTGCGCTGCGGGTTGGCCACCCCTCCGCACACCTCTTGAAATGCTCCCATATGACCGGGCGTCTTACATAGCCTCTCCTGAGGAAGTCCTACTCACTGCCTTCACGTGGCGGAGGTGTTTCTCACCAAAGTAAGAGGGCGAAAGCGGATGCCCGGCGCTCTCCACCGGGTTGACTGTCCATTGGATTCCAAACCTGATTCCAAACCTCCAACGACTGGCGTATGAAGCTCACTGGAGCTCACCGGCAGACGTATGGACAAAGGGCTTGTTGGATGTCCTGGATGTCTGGCCCCATTCAAAAAGGCGTATGAACCGAACTCCGGTCATCGGCTGCCAATGGATAGTGGACTCCTTACTCCACTCCTACTGCCTTGTAGGTCACACTTGGTTGTGTAAAGGCTAGAGCTGCACTCTCAGACAAAAGGCCGAGCGATGCTGGGGACATCACTCGTACCAAATTCCCATGAAACTTCATGAACTCTCTTACAAATTGCCGCGCCTGGGCAGCGATGATTCGAGACGTTCATGAAGCCGGCTCATCCTCCCGTAGGAGATAGCCGAAGTAAAGTAAAAGTAAAAAGTAAGGTTGGGCATGAGGCTGGTTAGCAACCCCATCCCGTAAAAACTAAATTCGACTGCAACTGAAACGTCACGCCTTTAGCTTGAAGCCCCCCCCCTATGTTCCACTGGGAACATAAAGGAATAATATATATATCATTGGTTCTGTTTGGAGAAAGTGATGAGAAGTTCTTGACATAAGGATGAAACTTGAGCACTACTGTGGTAGTAGAGTATAACTCCATTATGGATAAAATTTTTATTTTGATAAAGTCACAGTGTTTGCTACAATATTTACCGATGATAACGTTTCGAACACAATTTATTACTGCTCATCGTCATCATATCAAGGTACTTATTTTTTATTTTTTATTACAGCTTGATTCCACACTGTATTTTTCGTACAAGTATGGAATTTTCAGCGTGGATATCGGTAGCCCAAAATTCGCAGGCTGACCATAGATATCAGGTGTGCGTCGGCGAGGGCTCGAACCCGGGACCATGTGCATGGTCGGCGAGAGTCCTAACCACTGTGCCACCGACTTATATAACTTTCTTGCTTCATGAGTAAAACTGATGATTAGACATTTGAATAAAATTAATTCAGAGTTGATAATAATAGTGTTATTAATAAAATACAATCAGATGGGAAATATAGCAGGAATAAGGGTGGCAATCTAACCTAAAAACTCACTCAGAGACAAGCTATGAAGGTTAAAAGATCCTGTAGGTTGACACAATTAAACAAAGTAATATAAATTTACAAAATACCTTGCAATGACTGTAACTGAGGTCAACTGCATGGGTTAAACTAGTAGATCGGAGGTAGTCAAATTATCCGAAGATAAGAATTTAGCTAAAGTTAGAATGGTTGACCCCGAGCAGGTAAGTATATTAGAAAAAATAACTCAGCAATTGCACCAGATGCATTAACACACAACCACACAACAGGATGGGAGAGGGTTAAAATTCTAAAACGTAATATAGGTAGAGATGGTGGTCGATTACTGAATTCTTGTACATCGAATAATCTACACCAAACACATGCGCAATAGAAGTGACTCGATGCAAATACCAGAGATATGTATGGAAGATATTATTACTACCAATCAGTCAAATTAGAGGAGGATAATAAATAATCTTAAAATGTATTCAATTCAATTCACGTACATTATAACATTCTAACAAGTTATTTATTTATTTATTTTACTATGAAAAGCATCTTATCTTCCATCTGACTGTATTCGATTGATAGCACTAATATGATTATTTGCCAGTGTACTTTATCTTATATTGATTTCATTCAAATGTCTAATCATAAATTTTTACTCATG